AGATAGATAGATAGATAGATAGATAGATAGATAGATAGATAGATAGATAGATAGATAGATAGATAGATAGATATGACTGAAGTTCCTTGCTTATAAAGAAGATCCAGGCCTCGTTCATGTGGTCATGTCCACTATCTTGTCCAAATAACATCCCTTCACATCTGTCCCCTCCCAATTGTGTATCAGCCATTTTCTATTTTGTTTTAGCAGATGTCCACAATGCCAAGCAGCTGAGATGCATCTCCAGAACAAGAGTTTTACCACTAAGTTGAAGGTTCAGAAACCAGTCGGTGCATCCGTAAGAGTCGCTCGCTAAGGATGACGACTGATTTAAAGGAAATCAAGAAAGATCCTTTTGGGAGAAAAGGATCTTCTGAAGAAGTCAGGAGAAGAAGGAGCGAGAACTTACCGGCTTTCTTGGATCTTCAACTTCCTTGATGCTTAGGTTTTCCAATGGAATGATTCCCCTGGGCTCTTTATCCTAGGAATTTGTGGGGGAGAGAAAAAAAAAAAGGAATATCCAGTCAACCTGTTGGAATAGCTTGGCTGTGGAAGAAGGGACGTTATTATTGACACCTACGAATCACACTCACCGTTGTGTATTCAAAATAATAGAGGCAATTATCAGTCAGTATAAACCATCTCCTTTTCCACGTTTTCACCCGTCCACCTAAAAAAACAAAAACAAGACAAGCCACTCAGTTAGGTTGGACTTTCCCCTAAACTATGATGCATGGGACAAAATAACCTGGTTACCTTCTAATTAAAGGATTAGCCGTGTGCAAAAATCAGACGATTGAATGGAAAATGGATATAGAAGTAGGGTTAAAAATGAACACAATTTTACTGAGGCTCTCCTTATCCAGAAAGGGTAGCTGGATTGATTTGCCGAGCTAAGCCAGGGTTTTATTTAAGTATGAATTGACAATCAAGCCACAGTTAGCTGAGTTCAGACACAATACTCGTCCATGGTTTGCCTACACCACTGATGGTGAACCTTTTCGGCACCGAGTGGCCAAACCGGACCGTGCATGCATGTGAATGCATGTCCGTGCGCCACAGTGCCGGAAACATGAAGAGCAGTTCGGCCAGTGCGCATCTCCAAAAAACAGCCTGAAAATGGCCCCCCAAATGGCCTGAAAACAGTCTGAAAATGGCCTGAAAAACAGCTTGAAAATGGCCTGAAAACTGCTGGAAAAACAGCCTGAAAATGGCCCCCAAATGGTCAGAAAACAGCCTGAAAACGGCCTGAAAAACAGCCTGAAAATGACCTGAAAAACAACCTGGCTTAAAAACAGCCTGGAAAATGGCCCAAAAATGGTCTGAAAAACAGCCTGAAAATGGTCTGAAAAACAGCCTGAAAATGGTCAAAAAGAGCCTGAAAATGGTCTGAAAACAGCTGGAAAATGGCCCAAAAATGGTCTGAAAAACAGCCTGAAAATGGTCAAAAAGAGCCTGAAAATGGTCTGAAAACAGCCTGAAAATGGCCTGAAAAACAGCTGGAAAATGGCCTGAAAACAGCCTGAAAAACAGCCTGGCTTGAAAACAACCTGAAAAACAGTTTGAAAACGGCCTGAAAATGGTCTGAAAACAGCCTGAAAATGGTCTGAAAAAACAGCCTGAAAATGGTCAAAAACAGCCTGAAAATGGTCTGAAAATGGCCTGAAAAACAGCTTGAAAATGGCCTGAAAACTGCTGGAAAAACAGCCGGAAAATGGCCCCAAAATGGTCAAAAAACAGCCTGAAAATGGTCTGAAAAACAGCCTGAAAATGGCCTGAAAAACAGCCTGAAAACAAGCAAGGAATTCCAGAAAAGAAACCCTCAAGATGGTAGCGAATTAGTGACGGCACTCCCAGGAGCCACCCAAAACTTGATTTAATTGCACCAACCGGATTCAACTCCTACTCAAAATCAGCAGGAAAGACAAAGACTTTGAAGTAGGTTCAAAAGCTTCTTGCCAACAAGAATGAAGGGACAATCAGGATGGAAGAACTGTTTATCTTCATTTGCCTACCTAGATCTTTGAGAGCCAACCCCTTCCTTCAGGTAAAAGTAAAGGTTCCCCTCACACATATGTGCCAGTCGTTCCCAACTCTAGGGGGCGGTGCTCATCTCCGTTTCAAAGCCAAAGAGCCAGCGCTGTCTGAAGACATCTCCGTGGTCGTGGCCGGCATGACTCAACGCCAATGGTGCACGGAACGCTGTTCCCTTCCCACCAAAGGTGGTTCCTATTTTCCTACTTGCATTTTTTACCTGCTTTCGAGCTGCTAGGTTGGCAGAAGGTGGGACAAGTCATGGGAGCTCACTCCGTTATGTGGTGCTAGGGATTCGAACCGCCGAACTGCTGACCTTTCTGATCAACAAGCTCAGCGTCTTAGCCACTCAGCCACCACATCTCTTCCTTCAGATACAATGCTAAAATCCACTTTTTCCCTTTCTCAAATGTTTCCTTCTGCAAAAGAGGTCCGTGTTTTTCTACCTCTTTCTCAGTCCTCTTAAGAATTCCTTCCACATTTCTCTCATTTGCTTTTTTTTTCCACCAAAGGATTATTTAACGTCCCAAAAAGATCAAAAACCCTGCCCAGGCCTTTGGGCAAAGCAAATAAGACATTCAAAAAGAGAGAGAGAGATTCTATGATTCTTTCCTGGTGAGGAAAACGCAGAAGAGCCACCAAATTGTTCCTTTTTCAGCAGAAAACATCCGAGAAGGCCAAAGAACGCATTCCAAACTTGGACATATTTATTTCCTGAGCAGGAGAGGAAGTAATTAAAACCAGACCTTGGCTGTTTACAAGAAAAGGTTTCGTCTCAGACAGTTGAGCTGAACCGGGGCCAACAGACAATGCAATTTGGAATTTTAAAAATCGTCTTGTCCGGAGGGATCACTCCCTGGGATCTGTTGCTTAACAAAGATTTTGTCCAGCTCCAAGGTCTGCTGTGGAGATTTCATTGCCTCTTTCCGCCCCTTCAAATTGGCGCGTAATTAATCGTTAGGCAATGTCTCCAAGTTCACCCAAAATAAACTTGGGCGTTACCGATTTTTTCCCCCACTGGTTTGTAGGAGAAATAGAATCCTCAACACTACCCCCCCAAAAGTATTTATTTTGGGGGAGAGAGGAAAATAAAAAACCACAGCAAAAGCAGACGAGTTTGAAAGAGGAAGACGTTTTCCGTGCTGCCCTGGGTTATAGAGAGTTCTCGGATTACAACCAATCGTTTAGCGACAGTGAAAACAGCACTGGGGGAAAAAGTGACTTGTGAGTCCTCGAACTTACGACTATCACTGCATCTCTAGAGTCACATCATGATCAAAATTGCAATGGTCCCAACATCCCGGGATGATGGAATCACCATTTATGATGTCGGTTAGCTTCCGACAAAAATGGGAAAAACTGGATTCACTTAATGACCTGGTGACTCACTTTTAATAACGGCAGTGGTTTACTTAACAACCATGGGGGGAAAAAGATCATAAAACCAGGTCGCTTCACAGCTGCGTCACTTAGCAACGGAAATCCTCATCCCAATTTCATTACGTTGAAAAAACTACCTCTACATGCAAACTGTACAATGAAAAACCGTGACGTAAAATATTCAGACAATTATGTGGTCATCAAAAGTTTTCTTCAGGGTTTGGAAGAAGAAAAAAATATTTCTGCTGGTATCCGCTGTCAAATATATTCTCCGGGGATGCAACCAGCAACTTTTAGAAGAAAACTGAATTTAAATGTCTAGAGGGATTGTCAGTAATCCTAAATCCGTGATGGCAAACCTCTGGCATGCGTGCTTCAAGTGGCACACGGAGCCATTCCGCTTGGCATATGCGGCCGCGCCCATTCCTCTTCCGGGTTCCTGTTGCGCATGTGCACGCCAGTAGTGGGAATTCAACAAATTTTACTACTGGTTCTGTGGACGTGGCATGGTTTGGTGGGCGTGGCTTGATGGACGTGGCAGGGGAAGGATACTGCAAAATCCCCATTCCCTCCCAATCAGCTGGGACTCGGGTGGCAGAGAATAGATGGGGCGGGGCCAGCCAGAAATGGTATTTGCCGGTTCTCCGAACTACTCAAAGTTTCCGCTACCGGTTCTCCAGAACTGGTCAGAACCGGCTGAATATCGCCTCTGGGAAGGATACTGCAAAATCCCCATTTCCCCCCAATCAGCTGGGACTCGGGAGGCAGAGAATAGATGGGGCAGGGCCAGCCAGAGATGGTATTTGCCGGTTCTCCAAACTACTCAAAATTTCGGCTACCGGTTCTCCAGAACTGGTCAGAACCGGCTGAATATCGCCTCTGGGAAGGATACTGCAAAATCCCCATTTCCCCCCAATCAGCTGGGACTCGG